GGTAGGTACCTCGCCACTCTCCTCCTTGGTCCCCTTCTCCCTCCTCCTCCTACCGGTAGAGCTCCACCATAGCCAAGGTGGAAGCTCCCGGCTTCTTCCTCCCAGCAACGTTGTAGTACCCAGCGCTCCAGCAGCGTGTCGCCAAACTTGCACACTGAAGAATGAGGCCGAGCTCTTCCCTCGGCCTCTTGATATAGCGGCCTGCTTGCCTCCTGGGCGGTGACTTCCAGGCCGCTCCGCTTCCCAAACAACCGACACCTCCTCCCTTTCAGAGGGAAACATAATTGCAGACTCTGATATTGCCGGTACAGGCTCTAGACTCAGACTGGATGGACTGGTATCGGCCTAGACCTAGCCTACCGCTACTGGGCCTCTAAAAATGCCAACTTTGTCTTCTTCTGCTCAGCCTCGAGTACCCAGCACATCTACTGCTACTGGGTGCGGTACCGGCCTACCTGCTACTTGAGTGTTTTTCCGCTGCTCTAAGCACCGCGGGCCCCTGGCTCGGCTACTTGAGTGTTTTCCCTGCTGCAACCCTCAATGCCATGACCACAGGTAAGAATCGGCCCTACGGGCCTGCCAAACAAGCAAGTACCCTTGCGGGTCGCACACACACTCATGCGGACAAGCACTCAGACAGGCACGCAAGTCAACAGGCATGCACACATACAGACTTAGAAAACTCAGCAGAATGCGAGAATCTCAGCAAGGCATCCATTCCATCGGTAGAACTTTAGAAATCAGCAATGTTCTCAGTCTGTGTTATGACGGGTCATTACACTACCCCCCCTTCAAGAGCGAGGCCCCTTCGAGCGAGTAACTCAATCAGAGTCCCTGCAAAATGCATCATGCAAAGAGAGATCGGGTATGTTCCGTAGGAGTGAGGGGAGCTGTGAATTTAGGTTGTCGTTCGGAGCTAATCAATCGTTCATATGCGTTGACGACTCGCGGGGCACTGTGCAGCAAGTCTTTCTTAGTGATCAAGTAAAAGTCATTCAACGGGTGGTACAGAAAATGAACTTTGTACTGTCTGTTTCTCCCCTTTCCACCGTGCTCGACAATTCTATCAATCTCGTGGCTGGCATTGATTGCGCGAGGAATCATCGATTCTCGATACAGAGAAGTTTCGGGTGGTTCATAAGGAAACAACTTTGATGCGTGAAATACTGGGTACGTGCGCATATGAGTAGGCTCGTCAATCGTGTAAGAAGGACCAAATGAATCTTCCCCTACTTGGTTCAGCACCTTCCACGGACCGTAATACTGAGGAAGAAGCTTTCGTGATACACCTTCTTCAGAAAACTCAGACATTTTGACCTAGACATAACTTCCCACTGTGAAAGGTGCAGGCTGACGCTTTTTGTTAGCATGCTTAATCATGGCATTGCGTCGCATTTCCATAGTTGCGACAACAACTTTGAGCAAGCGATCAAACTTAGCATTGTAGTCTGGCTGGCCAGGTGTTAGGCCAGGTGGCTGGTCAGGAAACAGATAGGATAGGGGATTGCGAATTTTCCACCCAAGGTGCAACCGGTTAGGTGTCATCCCAGTGGAGGAGTGTATGGAGGTGTTGAACAACCCCTGCACAATCGGCAATTCCTCATCCCAAGAGTTCTGATCAGGCACAATTAAAGCTCGGAGAAGTTGGATCACAGTCTAGTTGATCTCCTCTGCTAGCCCATTGGCTTCGGGATGTCTTGAGTTTGATGTCATAGATCTGGGAGGTGAAGTCCTTCCAATCTGCACTTATGAACCTAGTGTCCCGGTCACTCACAAGAGTTTTCGGGGGCCCACACTGCAAAATGTACTTCTTGTGAAACTCTTTGATCACAAGGTCAGTTGGGGTGTGAGGTGGTAATGGGATCAAATTCAGAAATTTTGAAAAGCGGTCAACGATCACCATTACTTGCGAATATCCATTCCTACTCTTCTTTCCCATGTCCGTGAAGTCGATGGAAAGAGACTCACCTGGGCCATCAGGAATAGGAAGAGGATGCAGCAGCCCATAAGGCTTCATCCGAGATGGTTTGATGCGTTGACAAACTTCACACTCAGCCACAAACTTTCGTGCCATTCCTTTCATCCCAGGCCATACAAACTTTTGCAACAGACTTCTGTATGTCTTTTCAAAACCGAAGTGCCCACTCCGGCCATGAGCCAAGTCCAAGAAGTGAGTACAGATAGGCTCATGATTGGGTACACACAGGCGGTCGTACTTCCCGTAACGTCGAAAGAGCAAACCTTTACACTCATGGAAGTCAGGCTGACTGCTAGAGTCAACCTGGATCTGCTCAAGGATGGGACTGGGTTCCGGGTCCTTGGCAGTATGCTCAACTAGCTCCTCCTTCAAGTTCTTACGGAGGTTATGGGGGCCCACAAGACAAGTCATGCACTCAGGGTGGCGAGACAAAGCATCCGCAACACGATTGTAACAACCTTTTTTGTGCCTCAGTTCGAAATCATACACAACAATCTTATGCAACCAGCGGGTCAATGTAGTTGATGGATTATTCTGTGTTTGAATCCATTTCAAAGTCTTGTGGTTTGATAACACTTTGAAATGACGACCCAAGAGGTAGTGCTTCCAATGATCTAGTGCCTCTCTTAAGGCATAGAGTTCTCGCATGTAAGTGGAGGCAGCTACCTTGTGACTGGGCATACATTTGCTGTAGAATTCGAGCGGACGCAGGCCGTCGCCATCATCTTGTTGCAGCACTGCACCAATCCCATACAAGCTTGCATCAGTAGTTGCTACGAATGTAAGTTTGGGATCTGCAACGCGGAGCACCGGATGGCTCACCAAAGCCTCCTTCAATGCTTGGAAGGTTGTTGTGCATTCCCCATCCCATGTGTAGGACACATTCTTGCTGGTTAATCTGGACAGAGGTCGGGCAATGATAGAGAATTTGGGTACAAACTTATGGTAGTATGACGCAAGACCAAGAAAAGAACGCAACTCGCGGACATTTGCCGGTTGAGGCCATTTGCGGATGACCTCAACTTTGGTTGCCTCGGGTTCTAGGCCTGCAGCAGACAACCGATATTCAAGGTAGATGACGCTGTCCCCCCCAAACTCAGATTTCTCCAAGTTGAGATGGAGCTGCGCATTCTTGAGGATCTGCAACACTTCCTCAAGGTGTCTCATGTGCTCCTCCATCGACTAGCTGAAGATTAGTATGCCATCCAAATAAACAACAACAAATCGATTGATGTGATTGCGGAACAACTTATCCATGAGACTTTGAAAGGTGGCTGGTGCATTCGTGAGGTCGAAGGGCATGACGATAAACTCGTACAGCCCATCGCGAGTTTTGAATGCGGTTTTATGCTGGTCTGCAGGGTCGACTTCAATCTGGTGGTAGCCAGACATGAGATCGATCTTGCTGAAGACCTTGCATCCACCTGCAGCATCAAGTAGATCATCAATACGCGGCAAAGGGTATGCATTCTTTTTTGTTATTCTATTCAGGCGACAGTAATTGATACACATTCGTAGTTTGCCTCCTTTCTTCAGGACAAACAGAACCGGTGCACCGAATTCAGATTCGCTTGGCTTGATCCATCCCTTCCCAATCATGTCATCGATCTGTCTTCACAACTTTTCCAATTCGCCTGAGCCCATTCGATAGACACAACCTTTTGGAGGAGTGTTACCTTCTATCAACTCGATCTTGTATTGGACCGGACACACGGGGACTCCATGCGGTTTGGCCAAGACTCCAATAAATCGGTTGAGAAGGTTGCAAATTTCTGATGGGACTTCCGGAGGTAGGTCATCACTTTCAGGTGCAAGCATACTGGATTGCATAAGTGCAGCCAATACAACAAAATTTGAAGCAGAGTCGTTTGGACTAGAGGTAGACTTAGTAGAGGTAGAAGTAGTTGCATTAGAAGTAGAAACAACATGCGAAGTAGAATCATTGTGTATAGCAAAAATAAAAGGCAGATGAGCAGGCCTAACAAAGGCTATATACATTTGCTCATCAACTTTGCGCTTGGGCCACTTTTTGCAGAATTAAACTGCATTGAGGAAAGTTACTTGGGACTCGTGCGGCTCATCCAAAAGGACTGGACGCTCGATTCCCATGGCATCTTTGACCATGAATTGTGAGTCCTTCCACGTGGTTCTTTCACATTGGGTCTGCAACCAGCCCAAGCCAATAACCGCGTCGAAGGGGCACTTGTCAAGGACATAGAAGTTCAACTCATGCGTGATTGTGCGGTCTGCGTCAAAGGTAGTGCGCACACCTTTGACTGCATGTGTAGATGTGACAACCTCTTGGTTGCCCACTTGGGTCTGACAAGGATTCTGCAAAGTCACTTGCTTCATTCCCAAGTGTGCCTTACGAATGTCGTGCGGTGAGAAGTAGTTGGCGGTTGTGCCACAATCAGCCAACGCACGGATGTAACGGTCGTTAATGCGGAGTTTGAAGAAGATCAACTTCGTTTTCCCTTGCACGCGCTCTTGCTTCATGTGAGCCCAGCGCATCAAGAGAACATGAAAGTCATTTTTTTTCGACTCCACCCAAGGCTCCTTGTATAGGATGTGCACTTTCTTAGCCTTGGAATCAGCATCAGATGGGGGCTCAGGAGAGGTTTGTTGAGTGGGATTAAAATCCAGTGAAGGATCTGCACTTACATGCTCAGCCTCTCTGTTTGTAGAGTGTGCTAATGATGTCTTTACCCCCATTGTTGGTTTCCCTGCTGCAATCTGAAACAATGTTGGACTAGGTGTCCTGATTTGGTGCAGTGCAGGCAAACCCCTTTCTTCACCCTGTGTTTCCACTCACTTTCACTGATCTGGAGATCTACCCATGTGGCAGGATCTTCCGGTTTGGGTGAAATCTTCGCTCCCTTGGGAAGGAGAATTGTGTTAGTATTGTTCTTCATTGTGGTCCATGGTCCCTTACTTTTGAAGGCAGTCTTTTTGACGGCATTCATAGATTCATCGTCATTTACATACTCAGACTCATGAGTTGACGAAGAGCAGATGCCTCGCAGTCCTACTCTTGATCGTCATCAAGAGAAGGGTTCTCTGTGCAGGTCTCCTCGTCAACCTCAAGTAGATCATGCGCTGCAAAACGGTTGCTGCCTGGAAACCGTTTGCGGCTCGTGGTCTTTTTGCCACCCGATCCACCCGGAAGGTCATGTGCCTCCAGCTTGACTAAATCCCGCATGAGGGTAAGCCAATCTGTATACGTTATGAGTCCGAGCCTTAGGCGATGTGTCACAGTAGAGGGGACCGTACCTTTTATCACATCCAAGCAAGCCTGCGTAGTCATCTCCAGATCCGGAGTAGCAAAGAGTTTACTAACATACTGTTGCAGACTATGCATGGTGCCGGTCCACTTGCTGTGCTTGAGCTTGTCGAGCTTAAGTCTAGCTTTGGCTGCAGCATGTGGATCAGCATATTGTCTGATCAAGAGTTCCTCGAGTGTGGCTACAGGCGTAACCTTCAGCCATTTGTTCAGGTCTATTCTTTTATAGCCTGCTTGTACATCTCGGATTTCTAAGAAACCTCTTACGGCGGGTTCCACATTGGTCCCTAGGACCGACGACTGAGTAACCGGGAGTGCCCCCAATACATCAAAGTAGGATCGCATAGAGCTGATCCAGGATTCAATGTCATCCTTTCTGTCGTATTTAGACGAAATATGTGCCACCTTTCTATCCATGTAAGGAAAGCTGCAGCTAGGACCAGCGGTTGCTGGGTCCGAATTAAGGGTTGCAACAGTTCCAGAATGCCCTGCACTGCCACTTGCCGCTGCAGCAGCAGCAGCAACAACAACGGGGTTTGGACCTGTTGCAGATCCGGATAGGCTGTTGGCCACACTCAAAGAAGAAGAAGAAGAAGAAGACACGGTTAGAGGGGCAAGAACGGACTGACACGCAACACTAGAAGTAGGGTAAGCAGGCGGAAGGACACTTTGGGCCGGCTGCAAGTTAGCAAACTGTTGCAACTGGTCACGGTGCTGCCGCGCCATCAGGGCCATATCCTCGTGCAACTTCTTGAGTTTGTCGAACACCTTTGCGAGTTGGCCAGTATGGTCTTCAACAGCCCGGACTTCTACTAAGGACCTGAGGAGTGGGACAATCTTTTCTTCCACCTCAGCATCAGTTAAGGCGGGCACGATACTGAAGACGGCTTCATGAGCCTTTACTTTGTCTTCTCTCTCCTTCTCCTTCTCTTCCTCTTCCCTCTTCAATGCTTTCTCATAGAAGAACAGGTACTGCGCTTTTTCTGCCTCAGGGGCAGCGTCCATTTGCAGCTTCCATTCTGCTGCAGATGCCATGATGGAGGACGAGGGAGTCAATAAGTCTCTCAAGAGAGGTCCGTACTTCCTCACACTTCTGGGACGAACACTCCTCTTCCCTCTCCTCACTCCCTCAAGAGCAACACTCAGAAGCTTCTCTCTCTTCTCTCTCTCTCTCTCTCTCTCTCTCTCTCTCTCTCTCTCTCTCTCTCTCTCT